TAGTACAGGGGCATGTTTGATAAAAGTGCATAGATTTTCCTTTGACTAACTTAGCCATCACAATTAAAACTGGTAGTTATCAAGTTTCGTGTCCAACATCTGGCAAACTTTGAGGTCGTCAACAAATTAATCACCCAATCTTAGAAAATAATTGTCACTTAATTATATGCAAATTAACTCATGCCAATATATGGTTAAAACTAGACTTCACCGAGGTACAGTAGGACTGGGAAACGGTACGGTCTGGTCCAGACTAGATCATATATACGGTCTATGGTCCAGACCGAGAGGCTAGAGTATAGACCACAGACCAGACCACAGACTATACGGTTCGGTCCAGACCACACCTGTGCGGTCTGGTCCGGTACAGTCTGTTCCAGATAGACCACACTCAACGAAAAATAAACAATTTTTTTTAGTCAACCACACAAAAAGTTGAACCAATAAACAAGGGAAAAAATATTTCTTTTGTATTAAAACATTAATTCCAACATGCATGAATAATTTTGACACCCTAAATCATAGTACATAACAAAGATACAAAGTAAAAGCATCCCAATTTGCACCATAATGTCATAAACATTAACATAATTTCACATAGAGACACGGTAAACTCTACTCTCTAGTGAAATGTGGTTGTGAATGAAGGAGGGGACGTGATTCTCAAAATTAAGGTTAATACATGGGTGTCGTTGTTAGAGTTGGGAGAATGGTCGAATGGGCTGTTAACACATATTGAAAAGTCGATTGGGTCTACGGTTTGGTCCGGTAAACCGCGGTCTAGACCAGACTAAGAAATCAAAACGTCAAATAGTACAGACCATGGACCAGACCATACTTAATGGTCTACTGTCCGGACCAAACTGTGTGTTCCGATTTGGATCACGGGTTTTCTAACGGTCTTGTCTATTTTCTCAGCCTTAAGTTACGGTGCACACACTAGCAAGACTAATTACGACAAAGTTTCTGCATCAACAAGTCTGTTTGACCAATTGTGTAGATAGTGGTTGATTCTCGCCAAATTTCGTCGTGAATTTCATTACACTTCTTCAATATATATCTTGTTGTTGAGTAGTCCTCTATTTCGGGAGAGATTAAGTGTTATACATGTTATTTTCTATGTCTGTAATTTCATGTTGTCGAGCATTAGATCTTGATATGCCCCTTACCTTAGAGCACTTCTACTATGTTATATAGTATTGGTGCTTTAATGTACAACTTAAAGTTGTACCATAACATTAAATGTATAAGTTTAGGTTGTACCATAAAACAATTTGTACCATTATGTTATGGTACAACTTTACAACTTGAAGTTGTACCATCACATAATGGTACAAGTTTAAGTTGTACCATAAAAGAATTTGTGCAAAAAGTATAGGTACAATCTGAAGTTGTACCATAACGTAAATGTACAATTTTAAGTTGTACCATAAAAGCAAAAACCTATAGCACCAATACTATATAGCATTGTAAAATTTCTCATTACCTTATCGCTTATGCTTGGAGATTGGCCTATATTCTAATGGCTATTGCCTAATATATCTTGTTGCTGAGTTGCCCACTACTTCAAAGAGAGATTAAATTCTATACATGTTGTTTTTTATGTCTGTTTTTTTGTCGAGCATTAGTTCTTGATATGCCCCTTACATTGTCGTTTATGCTTAGAGGTTGGCCTATATTCTAATGGCTATTGCCTATTGGGTGACCCGTATGTTGAATCTCACTTTTCAGATTGTATCGCATCATATTTATTGTATTTCACCAGATAGTTCGCTTACTATGCATTTGGCACATGAAGAACATTAAACCCAAAATAATAGCTTTCTGGATGAGGTTGCCGAGACATTTGTAAAAGGTCAATGGGGAGGATATTGTATGCTAATATAGAGGTAGGGTTCGAACGACGTTGACTAGATTTTCAAAAGAGTCACTGGGGTACAATTGAACCGTTGATGAACTACTTGAGAGGTGGGTGGAGACCACGTGCGTGAAGGTGGGATCATTGAAGAAATGGCTTGCCACTCAGACCCACAAGATTGTTACACTCTTCCTTAGATATCACACATCCATTGAGGGAAGAGTGATTGAATTGAGAAAGGGCTTAGAGGTATTGCGTTTGAAGGTATTTTCATTTTTGCTTCATTTAAGTTGGTATTTCCCTATATTTTAACTTTGAAATTCGTTCTTTGTAATTAGTATTTTCATTAGCATACGAACCAACATATGATAACTTGAATTTGAAAGTAAGCTTGTAGGCAGTTGATTTGTTGATGGAAGAACAAAAAAGGGAAATTGTTGAGCGATGTGGAAGTTGGCTACCTAAGACACATGATCTACCATGTAAATGTTTTATGGATGAATATAGTGTTGTCGTTGTGGAGTTGTACCCTACCACTTGCATAATTATGGTCATCTTTGATGTATGAGAGTCCTCATGATCATGTAAAATGGGAAGACCATGATGCATTTGAGCATAGGGAATCAGAGAATCCAAGATCGCCCAGGAGGCAGAATGCTCGATATCCTTCAAGGGATATGAGCGTGAGAGGGCACAGTTGGCACAAAGGAGCAGAAAATCATGATCCGAGTAGGGATGACAACAAAACTCAAACCCATGGGTACCCACCCGACCCAACCTGGTCAACGCGGGTAAAACCCATGTTGACGGGTTTTGGGCTGGGTTCGGGTTTAAACCCGCTACACTATTCATCGGGTTGGGTTTGGGTTTAGGTAAACCCGCCCCATGGGTACTCTCCCACACACATATAATTACTTTTCCTGTATATTTAATATTCTAAATAATATATCTTCCTTAAACAACTAATATTTTTTTTATGTTTGTGGAGACATGTATAATTTGTTCTTTCTAATTGTTTAGAATGAAGTTGATATTATGAAGTGGAGAGTGAAGAAACTTAGTTGACGAGGAAAAAGCTTTCAATTAATCTTATTGTTTATAGATGTTTATCTTTAATTTTGAACAATTTGTATTGATCATTTGTGGTTTGCTTGTATGCTCTAGATTGGTGTTTTTTGTATGAATAATTTTTATGAGAAAATTGATGTTAAACTTTTATTTTGAAAGAAACTTGATATTGTAAATTTTTTACCACAAAAACCCACGGGTACCCATGAACCCGCGGATACCCAGCGGGTTGGGTTTGAGTTTTTCAAACCTAGCGAGTTTTACCCCGGGTTTTTTTGGCGGATAAACCCATGAGTTTGGGTTTGACAAAACCCACCCCAACCCGACCCATGGCCATCCCTAGATCTGAGGACACGGAGGACTACCCATGCAGGTTAACAACATTTTAATCTTTCTAGCATATTAATACTTCTTGGTTTGTGATCGTTTATATTAGTTACTTTTTTATCCTAAGAGGCGATATCCCAAAAGTTAAGTATATGCAAGTTCACCATGAGAAGAATGTTTGCCCTTACCTCTGCTATGTCCCACGTAGCATCCACCATGTTTTTAGAGGTTGGTTTGACCCAGAGCCGGATGGACAATGTGATTTTCGGGACATGTCACATGCAATTCATAGCGATGGGTGACACCACTTACAAATGAGGAAAGATATTATAACAGAAATCACTAACCATTGTGTTATCTATGAGAGAGTTTACTAATTGAACCAATAGCAAAAAAAAAATATTTTATTTTCTTAAAACATAAATTCCTACATGCATGGATAATTTTGACACCATAAATATATTTTTTTTGGTAGCATGACACCATAAATCTTAGTAAATAATAAAAATACAAAGTCAAAACATCCCAACTTGTACCATAAACTCACAAACATTTACATAATGTCATGTGGAGACATTATTGTTTTTACTCTCTAGTGAAATGTGCTTGTTAATGAAGGAGGGGACGAGATTCTCAAAATTAAGATAGAGACTTGGGTATCGTTGTGGGAGTTGGGAGAGTGGTCGAGTGGGTTGCTAACACATATTGAGAAGTCTGCTGGGTCCATGGTTTGGTCCTGTAAATCGCGGTCTAGACCAGACCAGACCAAGAAATCAAAACATCATATAATACAGACTATGGACTAGACCATACTTAACTCTCTACGGTCCGGACCAAACTGTACGGTCCGGTTTGGACCATAATTTTTCAAACGGTCTGGTCTACTTTCCCAGCCCTACCAATAAAATCGAAGCTTTCGAGTGTAAGCCCATGGACAATAGGATTGCTTTCAAAACCTATTTCCCTATATTTTTTATAGTATCTCCCTGTATTTTTATTTATTACAACAACACTCCAATATTGTTAAACAATTAGGTCAAAAATTATTTGTTAACCCATGGTATAACCGTATAAGCACTAATCAATAGTCTGTTGATCAATTTTCATGTATCCCATCAAAAGTTCAGCTCAATTCGGACTACCATAACAACCTATCTTAGATTAATTTCACAATGCTGCTTTGTAGTATCAGTGTTTGCTTAAAAAAAATCTTTATGTTACAAAGTGAATTGGTACATTTAAACAAATTCAATTTGTACTTATATATTTATGTAGAAATTCTCTTATAGTACAAATTCCTTTAACATATACAAACTGAACTTTGTATGTTTAATATTGTGGTACAAGTTCAATTTATAGTTATATATTTTCGTACAAATTCCTTTATGACACAAATTCAACTTATATATTTGAATTTAAGTTATCCTTGCTCTACTTAAAGATAAAATCTAAGTCGATTGAAGGATTATTAATCAGAACCTAACAAAAAAATAACAAGATTCGACAATAAAAAGAATTGCACTGTAATTATCATTTCGTCCTAAATATCAAAAGGAAAAGAAGTCAATAGTTGTACACTTGTACTATATCAATCACCAGAAGAAGAAGAAAAATATGAATTTAACTGCAAAGGGTAAATGTATACTTCCATAAGCTTATGGCTATCTATTATTAATACTATTTATTTTACAAACTTAAAATTAAAAGCTACTAATTTTTAATGCTCGGTGCTGATTTGAGCAACTGTCTAAAAAAATCCTAGTTTCTTTTCATTAAAAATACTCTCGTGGACCACGGTTTCGTATAGTTGTACCACGTTGCCCTCTTCCGGTGTAACCGCCACCACGATGAGCTTGTAGTTCCTGCCAGCTACATATTGGATTTGTCCTTTCTGCACTTTCAGGAGTTGTACCGGGAAAGCATTAGATATCATATTGTTAGTCTGCACTGCATACTCAGCGATCTTTTCGACGTGCTCATCCTTCAAGTTCTTTATCGGCTCCCATCCACCAATGCTTGCTCTGGCGGTAGACAAGATGACAGCAATGGTAGTTATAGCGACGAGAAAGGAAACTGGCTGCCTCATCCTTTTAGTAATTGATTCTTAATTTTCAATAAGATTTTGTGTTGTGGCTCTCTTTGGATGTGAAGCAAGCCTATCTGTGGTGTGAATTTATAGGCTTTGTGATATGATTGTAATAATATTTGTTTGTCAAATAGGTGAAATTTTGAGATTTTTCCAATAATAGCACCTTTAAAAAAAATTACAATACTAGCACCCTTCCAAAAATAATTACAAAACTAGCACCTATTTTAATGGAACGCACCTTAGAGGTGCGTTTTATAAATGAAACGCAACCTAAGAATGCGTTTCCAACATAAATCGCACCCCTAAGATGCGATTTATGCGATAAAACGCATCCCCAAGATGCGTTCAATATTTGGTGGCCAGCGACCTTCCAGTTCGCACGATTGAGGTGCGATCCAACGGGCTGGAGCATAGCCACGTCAGCAATCCGCGCGGTGGATTGTAGATCGCACTGGCGAGGTGCGATTTCTCGCCTGGAAAAGTGGAGCGTCAGTTTCCAGAGCGTTCAACACCTCGGGACGCGGAGATCGCATCGGGGAGATGTGTTTTCACGCGGAGATCGCACCGGGGAGATGCGATTTCGACGGGGTAAAATTACCCTACCGCCCCTGAGGGGTGCGATCTATTGGGTATAAATACCCCCCTTCCCCCTCTCATTTCTTCACTCCACAACCCATTCTTCCTTCTCTCTCTAGATATAATCTCTCTAAACCCTCCCCTCCCAAAAGCCTAGGAAATAAAAGTCTGTTGGTTGCGGCTAAGTCCGATCTGCCATCAGAAAATATTTCTTAGGTTTTTTTCTCAAAAACCCGCCGAGCCGAGCCGAAGCTCTGTCCGAATTACGCCGAAAAAATGGCCGATTGGTGGCAAGGAGAAGGAGTTTATGTTGATGAATTTCAAGCGGTATGTACTCATTATTCTGGTTTAATTTTTATTGTTGTTATAAGTTTTTTAATTAATCTATGTACTAACCTCGTTGTTATTTTCTCGTAGGTTGGGGAGGACGTCGATATATACAACCAACGGTATTATCTCGAGCAAGGACCGGTGGATCCAACCGACTTGTACGACCAACCTAACCATCGGTCAAGGGATGTTTGGAACGATCACCCGGTACATACAATTCTTCACCATTTGTCCTTCTTTTATTTTGTTAATGTGCCTAGTGTAATATAAAATAAATTTATGTTTATTTTTTAATCGTGTTGGTGGTTTTCAATAATTTAATCGAATACATAGCGCCACTTACTTCGACTCTTTATAAAGAGATGCACGTCTAAGGATATGTGGTTTTAAGCGATTATCATATCCTCCCATTACCTGGGAAAATCGGGTATTAAGAGATCCTCGGATCCCCCCTTTTTCTGTCAAAAAGACTGCGTTTCTAAGAAGATGTATACCTCTTCTAAGAGTCTAACGAGTGTTACTTTGTATTCGATTAAATTATTTAAAACAACTAATACGATTAAATTATTTACCAAACATTTGAATATGTATGTTTCTACTTAAATTATTATTCATTAACAATGTTATTTATGTTAATTAATTTAGTATGTTTGTTTTACGATAATATGTATGTACCTCTTTAAATTATTATTCATTGACAATGTTATTATGTTAATTAATTTAGGACGTTTGTTTTATGATAATATGAAATGTCTTTTTATGATAATAAAATTATGTTTTATGTCGCATAATTTAATTTAATTAATTTAGTTATACAAAAAAATGTCTTACTAATAATAATTAACGTGTACATTTTTGCTAGGAAGCACAAACAATAATCCGCTACAGGGGTACCACCAATGTGCTCCCATTCCACCCAGCTATCTTGCCATTTCTCAAAAGGGCACGGTTAGACTCGATTCGGCATTTTAACGGCATCCAAATCGATCGCCAACTCATCACCGCATTAGCCGAGAGATGGAGAAAGGAGACCCATTGTTTCAACTTTAGAGAAGGAGAGGCCACCATCACGCTAAAGGATGTCGCCATCCTAACCCATCTGCCCATCGACGGCAAACCGGTGTGCGTGAGTGATCATCCCCCCGAGGATTGTGACGGTATGCCCGGTTGGCAGCATTTCATCCACAGTCATTTGGGAGTGAAAGTACCGGTGAAGGGTTGCGTTGATGCGACCGATCGCATGCCACCAATGAGGAAGCACCAAGTCTCAATTACATGGTTGACGAAGTATTTTAGAGATCATTACGAGAGTCATCCGCTTACCGAGGAAAGTTCGGAGGATGAGAAGGAGAGATATGCTCATGTCTATCTCATAGGCATGATCGGAGGAGTGTTCTTCTCCAAGAAAGCAAGAAATCTCCTTAGTTGTGGATGGCTTAGGATCATCTTCAGTAGTTGGGAGGAGATGGGGGAGTATAGTTGGGCATCCGCTTGCCTAGCTATGATGTACCACAACTTGTGCAATGCGTCTCTAAAAGCCGCGAGGGAGGTCAGCGGCGCAATGTTCATCGTCCAATTTTGGGCTTGGGAGCATATGCCATGGCTTGCACCGGCCCAACGTCCAGACAGGGATTGGCCAATCGATCATCCCCTAAGAGGTGAAGCTTATGGAGCAAGGTAAACTTCTCATACCCCATCATGTAGTCATAACACATTTTGTCTTGTGTTTTATCTTATTGTAGTTTCATTCTTGTCTTATTAATAAGGTGGCTTGGACACACAACATGCGACAACCTTGCCCAACACAAGTTGGAGGAGTATCGGAGGAGGTTTGAGCGACTTTGGGAAGGAGAGGTAACTTCTATACTGCGATCCATTTATATTTGTTTTTCATGGGACTACATGTATTTTTCTAATTAATTAATCTTACGTTACTCATTTCTTTCTTGTAGATCGTCTTCGATCCATACCCGGAGAACATCGTTCAATGGCATCTCCAGCAATTCCCCGGTCATATCGGGCAATGGTGCATGAGGGTTCCTCTAATTTGTTTTGGGATCGTGGAGTGGCACTTGCCGGATCGATGCCTCCGTCAGTTTGGTCGGGAACAGTGCATTCCGTTGGAGGTCCCCGAAAGTCAAAAGGCCTTCCATGGTCGAGATGGTCGGCAAGGTACTCGCGATTGGCCCACGAAGTTGGGGGAATTCATCGCGATTTGGGAGAACCGACAACTACAGGATATTGTCACTCCAAATCAAGTGGGCCGAATGGGGTATCATGACCCATACTTGGATCGATATCGGCAAACATCGGTTCGTTACATGACTCCGGAGGGTGCGGCCGATGGTGCATTAGTAAGTATAACCAGTCTAAACATACTATGATTTATTACTTGGTTCCTAAAATCTCTTTCTAACCCTTTGTTTTTTTTGTGATTTAGGCTGATGGGGTCGAGCGGATTAAAGATATTACTACCGGAAGAAATGAGTTGGGCAATGAAGAAGCGGGCTTCATCAGGAGGATTGCAAACAGTATACTTGGCTGTATCAGAGCTCAGGGCCGGGATCATCGTAGATATCCGCCCGCGGTCGCACCCCCACCACCTCCGGCACAACTTGATGTCCCCGCACCCCCACCACCATACGAGAGAAAGAAGAGCAAGAGGGTTCGGGAAAGGCCCATCGAGCCCGAGGTAACGCCATATGGGGGGTGGAGAGTGCCGCCCCCATTGGTTGTCACCCAAGGTGCCGGACAAAGTTCCACCCAAGGTGCCGGACCGAGTTCCACCCAAGCTCCCCGCCCGTCCTCCGCCCCATCTCCCCGCCCGACTATTTCACAAGATGCCGGCCCGACTTCATCCCAAGATTTCCGCCCCTTCTTCCACAACGATCACCACCAAAGCTCATACTACGATCCCCGCTCGACCTACCATCAATCCTCTTAGAGTTTCCACCAAGCCCCATTATCTCCCACCCCGATCTCATACAACGATCCCCGCCAAACATACTACGATTCCTGGCAATCTCCCCGCCAAACATCATCTGGGACTTGGCATGATGGCTCCTCCACGACAGGCCAACACGAGTTCACCCCATGGAATCGACCTCCTCAGCAGTGGCCTCCTACTCCTCACCGTATGAGCGCCGATGTCGCCCGCTCGACCCCGGAAGTGCCGCTTCCCCGCCGACATAGCACCGACGAGCGCCACACTACCTCGGCCGCTCGAAACTTTCCACCGCCACCACCCATTGTTACTCCCGTCGGCAAACGTACAAGGAGCAAGAAAACTGTGGGTTCCGCATCCGCTCGTGGACTTCCTTGAGATGTATTTTGAGTTGATTTTTATCTCTATGTACTTTGAACTATTCCCTTTAATTTAATCTATCGTATTTCGTTGAGTTTCATCCTCTTTTGTTATTATCATGATTCTACTTCACTTGATATAATCCCAATTCGTTCAATCAACAATACACATTTAAATGCAACGTAAGAGTTACAAATAGCTTGACGAATGATAATCGAAAATTATGTCGCATTATCTGATTCCGGCACATCATCACCCGGATTTTGCGGACCAATCGGTCCTGGACACCTTCGTTTATCATGTCCTGGAACTTTGCATACTGAACACCGTCTTGGGCCTCGTGGTGGTCTTCCACTTTGATCCATTTCATTCTGAATTCTCTTTTTCCTCGGGGCGCCCCGGTTCACGCCTCTGTCCGAATGGCGGGACGATCAATTTCCCTTCATACAGCGGCCAATAAGCTTCATCAGGCAATGCACGGAAACTCCGTCCATAGGTGCTTTTGAGTGAGTCGATATTGAAGAATGGACTAACGAAGTGACGGGGGTCTTTGCTCCTCTTTTTAATTACGGCCATTGCATGAGAACAAGGCCATCCTCTCCCCTGATACTTCTGGCATGAGCACTCACCAACTTTGGTCCTGAAATTGACCAAAACTTCGTGACGGTGGCCCCCCCGTCTACCATCCTCCCGATGTCCGATCGTCACGCTATACTCACCAGTTGCCCGATTCATAACGGTTACACTATGTCGACTGCTCTTGCGATTGTCACTATCCATTATTTCAGTGACTTTATAGGCATGGACCTTTCCCTGTGCCTCGTTTGTCCTTGCCCAGTGGAGACGGTTCACGAACCATGCATTCGTTTTCCAAAAAGTCATCTCCACAATGGCAGAGATTGGCAGTGCACGGACGGCCTTGTAGACAGAGTTGATACTCTCACTTGAGTTGGTTGTGGCAATACCCCATCTTTTCCCTCCATCTTTATGAAATGTCCACATGGATAGGTCGTGTCCATCCAGCCACTGTGCCCCTTCAGGGCATAACTCGCGCAGCTTTTGCAACTTCTCCTGAAATTTTTTCTCCTGGTATGCAACTGCTGAATAACACACAGAAAAGTCGTATGTTAGTCAATGATCCTCAATTTAGTACAATTTCAAACTGCACGGTCAGACTCTCGTTAGACTCGTAGGAGAGGTATACATCTCCTTAGAAACACAGCCTGTTTGACAGAAAAAGGGGGGATCCGAAGATCGCTTAAAACCCGATTTTCCCAGGAAATGGGAGGACCATCATAATCGCTTAAAACCCCATTTCCTTAGGCATGCATCTCTTTAGAAAGAGTCTAACAAGTGCACCACTCCCGATATTACAAGATATTGTCAATTGTCCACAATAGAGAGGTTACCAATCCACCACAAATTATCAGCTAGCTTCTTCCGTTTGAAATGATGGTTCCAGTTGCTTTTGAAGTGTCGTATGCACCACCTTTGGGACCAATTCCAGGGTGGATCCAGGCCTAGGATGGCTGCTCTAATGCCGGCGTGCCGATCAGAGATTATTGTCAGGTTCGTCCTCCTGGTGACGTGGATTTGGATTTGTCGGAAAAACCATCCATAGCTATCAGCATTCTCTCCCTCAACAATGGCGAAGGCTAAAGGAAAGACTTGTCTGTTTGCATCCGCCCCACTGGCAATCAGGAGAGTGCCCTTGTACTTGCCGGTAAGGAATGTACCATCCACAGTAATCACAGGGATACAAAAGCCAAAACCATCAATAGAAGGCTTGAATGCCCAAAACAGTCTGCGAAAATGGCGTTCGTTACCTGCCTCTGGGGGTTGTATCTCTTCA